GGATAATGTAGGAAATACTTGCCTGGTCCGTCTCTCCCGCTGGTCCATCTCTCCCGAAATTGCCCCATATTTCTGTTCAGAGATATTAACGTGAAGCATAGTAAAACATACTTAAGCGACGTATCCAAATAATCCTTGAAATATGAGAGTTACAGCGGGTGATCAAATTATTAGAGCCACTTGCAAAGAACTGTCGGTTTTGCATTGTAACGATTAATTTTTAAACGAAAGCCTAGTTATACCTACTGAATTCTAATTATTATTTTTACGAAGCGTTGATATTAGGTCTACCGGAAAGTTCTGTCCGTTTTTCAATTAAAAGAAAGTAATACATTTTCGATACATTTATTAATAGGGTAATTCCGGGAGAGACGGGCCAGGCAAGTATTTCCTACATTATCCGCCATATGTGGAACGCGTCAGTATTCTTTTGTTTTACATTCGTTTTACTCTCGGTGTTTTTTGTTCCATATCTGGCGGATAATGTAGGAAATACTTGCCTGGCTAAGTTTATACGAACATTTTTTACCTACTTGACCTCATTAACACGTAGTATATATAAATTTTGTTCCGACCGTTTTGGACACTCTATATATCACAGTAAATTAAGCAATAGAAATTGAAAAGATTTCAATATTTATGTTCTTTAACCCCTTGCCTTATAACGAGTGAGACTCGCGGCATAAATTCTGGTGAAGATGCGAGAAAAATAATTGCATTAGTAACAAAACTAAACACGTTCAGTACGGTGTGACCCACAGGTGGACATGACCCATCGGTGGGTCGTTCAAAATGGTGGCACAAAATATCGAGTAGATGGTGGATCACCACATTTTCAGATTACATACTGAAAAATGAAGTATTAACCCTTCGACAGTTTGTCCCGTGTGAGACTTGAGCAAAGTATCAAGTACTTATTTAACTCTTAGGAAGAAAGTTAGAAAGGGGCGAGATATTATTGTCACAACTATGACGTAGGGTTATGTGTGTCTTGTTTTAAAAATGATCACACACGACGTAATTAAAAACAAAATACGTGTGAAATATACATTTTGTTGATCGCAATTCATAAGTTTATTAGACTGTCAAAGGGTTAATGATAATACACACTTCGGTCATCAGAAACGCTGGCAGTAGTTGAGCGTTTCGTGAATTTCGTTGCATTCCTGAACGTGTTAATTCTAATTCAAACTTTCGTTTTAATTTATAAGACTGTGGATTAGCAAATGTAACCAATCTATAATACATGAATTTTTATTACTTAATACAGTACTAAAACAGTAAATAGTTAACGCTTTTGTTAGGTACGTAGTCAGCAAAAAAAATGATAATTCAAGGGGTTAAGAGTCTGTACTTCACCGTTTCCAAAAATGTATTTAAGTTCGAGGCAACAACCTCAAGTGAATATTTCAGTGAACACATTGAACCATGTATTCTACATAACTTTATTAATACTTTAGACCAGGCGTGTCCAACCTGTGCCCCTGAACAGCACAATATCGTAAACTTTTAACATTATCATGTGATTTTTAGCGATATTTTTCACGACTCAATTGCATTATAATAAAAAATATTAAAAAATAAAAGGTTTTGTTACTTACGTACAATTAACTGTATTATATATTTCGTATGACCCAGGCAAATCGAAAGGTTGGACACCCATGCTTTAGACCCTGAGACAGCCTTTATCTACGGTAAAAAATGGAATTTTGCGTATAAAAGTTCACTTGGAAGTTATAAAAATATGGGTCACCGAATTTTTCATAATATTGTAGTATCGGGGCCTCCATGCCCAAATAGGAAACCTCGAAGGGACAATAGGGAGGGAGTGGTTGGCGTAGCGCGCAAAGCCTCGGCTTGTTAAGTCGAAGGTCCCGGGTTCGATTCCCGTTTGGGTCCCTCGATATTTTTCTCTAGGTTCCTACAAATGGGGACTCGTCCGGGATGGAGGCATCTACGGCTGCACGAAGCCAGGCGCTGTGAGATGAAAACATGTTAAGGGTTGCACGTCTCCAAAATTGCGTCGTTTCGGCTGTGTGCCACTGTGTGGGGGAGTGTGCCCGAAAGTGTTGAGTTGTGTTGCACTGAGGACATTCGAGGGCGAATGTCAGTTCAGGATGGCCGAGTGTAGTATCGGGGCCTCCATACCCAAATAGGAAACCGACAAGGGACAATACGGAGGGAGTGGTTGGCGTAGCGCGCAAAGCCTCGGCTTGCTAAGCCGAAGGTCTCAGGTTCGATTCCTGTTGGGTCCCTCAATATTTTTCCGTCGGTTCCTACAATATGATTTACAATACATACATAAAAAAATATGTGGAATTATGAAAAAAAATCGGGAACCATGAAATCTTGAAAATATATTCTATTAATTATAACGTAACTCTCTTACGACTGAATATATTACTTAACGCTTCCACTGCTATTGGCGCTTTGAAAATTTTCTCGCACTGTGCTGTTGGTGACTTTTGGTATACTTTCGCGTTAATTCAATCCTTAAATTTTGCTTAAAATTCAATCCTTGGAGTACTCTCAATAATTGAAACTTAAAAATGACGAACTTTTAATTTTTTCAAATTTTTAAATGCCGAAACGAAAGATTTCGCCGATAATCTGCCGCAGCGAAAGGGTTGATAGTAAAATATTTCACTCTTTTCTTAAAAGCAACGGAGATAGTTTTGGTGGCAAGGATACTTAGACCGTCCTGTATATTACTCGAAAATCGAATTGAAATTAGAAACTTGTAATTAAAATCTCATATCTGCACACTTGTTGAAATAAATAAGTTTTAGTAAAATTTGCACTTTTAAGACATTGTAAATTAATAAAATAGTAAAATACTCTTTTCTCATGTGTAGATTCGCTTGGATATTTTGCAATACATATGAAACATTGAAATCAATGGTGTACTGGTTATTGGTTAAAATAACGTGCAGATTACATTTTCAAGCAGTTTTTCCAAATATGTGCAATGCTTTTTTTCAATCGCCTCCAATATTACGTTTAAAGTATACGTACCTAAAAAATTTGCAATAAAAACGTAGTTTCTTTATAGATAATAGCAATTGCTTCTATATAATACAACAGTTATTATATATTGTTTGTGTTTTACACGTTGTTTGAATCATACTATAAGTTTACCAATTTACAAAGATTTTCTGAAAAATCTGATTAAACGTTAGTTTATTCCGACCACTTACTGCATTAAGTTGTTAAGCACTCTGTACGTATAGTAAGATACATGTATAAGAAATCATTGTTTCGAGGTGCAATATCAAATTCTCAATTGAGTAAAATCTTGCAAAAGTGTGGGATTCATCAGCGAGATTAAACGAATCTCACAAGTTCTTAGTATTGTTGTTGTAAAATTTCCTAGACAGCACTTGCACAAGGATAATTTAAGTTCCAAGTATCTTACTCGTATCGCCAAGAAATATACAACCGGACGTAAAGACTAACAACAGAGTTTACGATGAAACGGTGTCTTGTAGTATTTTTCTTAGTTGTATAAAGTAAATATTTTATGAAATTACTTGCGCGTTTTCTTCGTTTTCTTGGGATTCTCCTAAAATTACAGAAGAGAGCATTTACAAGGTATTATTTCAGTATTAATATCGACAAGAAAATTTAAGAAATAACTTGGCAGCGAACGATGAAATTTTTCTACCTAGAAAAGGGATGATTCGAACGATATTCCTCTTTTCGTTAAAACTTTTCCTTTTTGGAAGCTACTTCTTTTCACAAATATACCTTAGATAAATGTTACGCTTGAAGCAATTTTTCCTTAACACGTTAAGCGCCATGTCAGTCGCCGGCGACTGACGCTATACATTCCGTTCAGGCCGCGTCAGTCACCGGTGACTGACAGTATAATTTTCGTTGGTCGTCTTCTGTTTATAGTTCGCATGGCCCACTTGACGGCCATGCGTGGCCTGAACGGAACCGGTAAGCAAAACAGGCTGGGCGTTTAACGTGTTAAACTACATGTTGTGTATTCCTGTAATATTTAATAAAAAGAAGACACGCACAAAATGGTGGGATGACTGATGTTTCGTCTTTTTTCGAGGTTAGATCATATTCAATTTTGTAAAATTAATTTTCGTATAATTAATAAAAGAACTAACATCCTGTACTGTATCTTATTAGTTGTATTCCATCCGCAACCCTACCTGTTACGCAGAGAATTTCACTAAGTATAAGTATAATAATAAAGAACGTACTTTCAACTTGTAATGCCCGGTTCACGCTGGCCAAAACTGTTCGCGAACAGCTCGCAAGCAGAACGCAAACAGTATCAAACTCTACGTTAAACCACACGAACGATATTCGCTGTTTCCTTGCTCGCGAGAGTGTTCACACTGCCAGCGAACATAATTCGCGATCTGTTCGCGAGCACCGGCGTGGACCCGGCATAACATTCTACAACGAGCAACAACTTAAATAGATACATATGTGTATGTTAATCTTTGGTTTTCAAGTCTACAAGTACACTCTCAATGGAAAAATATTACTGAACACTCTAATTTCAAGATTTACAATTTCACAAAAAGGATTTGAAAAGTGCACACACGTGTTTTCTGTCACAGACGCATGAAGCTTTAGGAAGAGTGTAATATTTACTTGAAGAAAATCGAGAGCAATAACATTAACCCCTTGCCCTACGATTTTCCTCTTCCAATACAGTGTTAGATAAAAAGGAGCCAGTTTGGTAATCGTTAGTCTTAAATTGAAGCTGAAATGAGGGCAAAAATGCAAATTCGACAGACACACAATTCTGTTTTCTTTTTTAATTCATTTATTTTAAGTCGCACGAAGTGTGGTTTATTAGCGACTCAATGCTACGGAACGGAATTTACAATTTTTGTCTTCGATTTCGTTCTCCTCTCGTCGCATCTCGACTGTACCTTGCACCACGGGAGCCACTGGTCGTTGCAAGGCAAGGGGTTAACGGTGGTAACAATCGGAGATTCGGTCGAATAAAACAGCGAATCGTTTTGTTTCAGGTATGTCAGCCGAGGACGAGTGGTACAACAAGAGCATTTCCGCTCTGAGAATGAATACAGCTCATCATCCTAACCTCGCCGCGCCAATGCTGCAATACCAAACATAATTGTACACATACACGAGTGAATCATTCGACGATTTTACGAAAAATATATTTCACTGCGTATCTTCGTTCAGACAACTTAGCATCGTTAAAATGTGTTTTCAAAAGGAGAAACGGAGGAGAACGTTGTTTCCGGTTGCCACGAAGTACACGTGAGAAGACAGTGGAAAACGAAATTATTGCGAGTCTCTGTCTCGAGGCACTTTTTTCACAAAAAAAAAAAAAAAAATGACAAAAAAAAATGAAAAAAAAAATGGAAAAAAAAATACAAAAAATAAACGAAAAGTCGAATTTCCAATAGACACGAGAAAAGAGAGAGAGAGGCATCTCTCTCGTGTTATCGTTCAAACGTCTTCACAGGATTGTTCGTTTCTTGATATTATGACAGGGAGGTCGATCTTGATTGTTGCGTTCGAATAAAGGAGATATCACCTGACGTTTCATCGTAATGTTAACGATATTTTGGTAAAGTGAAACTTTGTTAATATCATTTGATATTATCGGTAAGAGGTATTATTCACGTGCGGCGCTATACATACACATAGATGATATGTATACCTTATTAAACACACGTATCCACGGATACACTATAATTATTAATTATGTACACAGATTTCTGTTGTTCCGTACGAGGTGCGATGTATTTTGGTCGAACGTTTAGTTGTTAAATTAAGTAAACGCCGTTCAATAGGATCGATGTTCGTTTCGTCACAGTGAAGAGAAAGAGGGACAATTGCTGCGTAACTAGGGCAAATTTTATTCCATTGAAATTGTCACGTTTCGTTTTTACGATACGAACGAAATCTGCATTACCTTCGTTTATTTATTTTGCTTCGTGTTACGTTTTTTTTTTTTTTTCTTTTGTTCTCGCCGATAATGGCGAAGAATATTAGCGATTAAAGGTGTATTTTCTTGTTTTCCTTTTCGCGATATAACACGCGCGACGTGTATCTCTAGCTGGAATAATTGATGTGCACATGAGAAGGGGAAACTCGACACACACACACACACACACAGTTCACACAATCTTTTATTAGTTTCTTAACAACGATCCGAAACAACACTTTCATTAACGGAGGAGACTGTAAATAAAGAAGGGGTGCGTATACAGTGTAATCAACAGATATTCTAGCATATGCGATTTTTCAATGTCCTTTTAAAAATGTAAGCATACCCACCCTTAGTGGAATATTAGGTATTGATTTGTGTGCTTATGTTGGCCAGAATTTTAAATAATCGGGATGAAAGAATGGACGAGGATACATGACAATGTCTTGCGTTTGAAATTTGAGAGGCCCCAGGGTTTTAATTACGCGACTTTTCTTACGTTTCTTCTTCCTACACAGTCAAGATATCCGACGACCGAGTTCCATTCGCGGACTTTCAATCGTTTTATATTTAGGAACTTGACATTCGTCACACGAGAGTGGAAACGCTGAATGGTTTTCAGAGTATGCTACGAGAAGTGTGTTAAAAATTAATCGTTATTTTGGTGGTACGATAAGATTGTCATCGAAGTATTCCAATAACGTTTGCATTGAAGAAAAAAAAAAAAAAAATCGAAGATTGTAGAGAAGGTTTATCTGTTTTATTGTACATACATCTCTTTTATTGCTAACTTGACACGGAGAACCGGACAAATTGAAAGAGGTTCGATTTACTTTGACGAACGAGAAAGGGACAATATTTGAGAAATAATTCGACACGAGAAAGCAGGCAAGTGTGTTTGTTTGTTTTTTTTTTTTTTTTTCGTCGAACGCGAAACAAATTCTTTCTCTCTAGAGTAAATAAACTATTCCAACGAGATGTTTGTTTTTCTTGTGTGAACGTTATTGAATAGTCGTTATTCTCCCTGGCGCTTTTCAGTGGTGATATTTGGATCTGTCCAATTAAACAATCGTCTATATTGGTGTCATTTTTCGATAATCGTCTAATCAATATACTGATCGAGAATGAAGCTGCAGACAACTGCATTGTTTTCGTGTAGTTTCGCCTGCAAACCTTATTACTAATATCGCTCGCGGTGTTCCACGCGAAATGTTCCTAAAAAATTTGTAACATATCACACGATATACGAACACGAACTTCCACTTATATATACACACACGTTACACACGAGACACGATCATGAGGTACATGTGTATGCGTTAGAACGACGTATGCATCGAGACACTTTTACACCTACCAAAAGTATGTCCGGGGAGAAAAGATTAAGTGGAAATACATACCGGGCGAGCGTAATATAGTTTTAAGCAAGGGTCACGTATTGTACGTATGTGTTGTACATAGCCTAAATAAAAATTACATTTAAAACTATACGCTGTTGTGAAATATTCCTGTTAAAGTGACAAATATCATGCACACACGCGACAGACACAGAGAGGGCACTTTTTTTCTTCATCGCCTATTTAACATTTTTTGTTGTTGGAACTTTTTACAATTGTTTCTCACAGGTTCTAATGTTGAAAGTTTTGTGTTACAGCTAGTAGAGATGTACGAAACCGAGCAGCTCGAATTGTTTCGAGTGACTCAAGTCCGTTCAATTTAAGAGTAACCTCGTTCTCGGACCGACTTTCGTCCGTTCTGCGCAGTTCCCACTACTACCTACCGATGTGTGACGCATGCGATTGGCCGTAGCGCCATTTCGGCTAGGCCCAAGAGCGACGACTATGTGAACAGTGCATAGAGCGGAGAGAATCTACCCGGTGGTTTAAAAGTACGCGCACCTACTGTGTGCATGTTAACGCAGCGGTTTATGACAGACGAACAGTGGCTATACTCTGTTCAATTTAAGAATAACCTCGTTTCGCGCATGGGACGTGCCTAAGGCAGGGCTAGAACGTCCAGACACCCACTTAACCGCCTACGTTTTTCTTCGTCTTACCCTCTGCCACGCTCTCTCTGTCTATGCGCAGAACGGACGAAAATCGGTCCGAGCGCGAGGTTATTCTTAAATTGAACAGAGTATAGTTGTATGAATTTAGCCGGACAAAATAAAAGTATGAATATTTAGGGAACGATTCAAAATCATTTAAATTCTTAAAAGACATATTGTAAAGTACCTAATTTCATTAGGTACAAAAAAGAAGAAAAGAGAAGAAGAGTAAATAGAGAATTAATTATATCACCGTGTATATGAAAGCGTCACGCCTGGAACAATAGACGAAGAGCGTAGCAGAGGATAAGACGGAGAAAAACATAGGCGGTTAAGTGGGGGTTTGGAGGTTCTAGCTCTGCCTTAGGCACGTCCCATGCGCGAAGCGAGGTTACTCTTAAATTGAACGGACTGTAGAAAGAATTGAGTACCCCGAATGTTCAGAGCAATTTATTATAAAAGATGAGCCACAAGATGCTGGAAATGGATACAGTTGCGGTCATGCATTTCCGGTCACTATTAGAACAGTATAACTTTTTTTAAATTGGACCAAATGACTTGAGCTTTTTTTTTTGAGAAGTTAGAAGGATTAGTTTACTAGATAACGTGTACGAAAAATTTAAAAATTATAATGCAACGTATGATAATACACTTTCTTTTATTTATTGTACAATGTGTGATTAAATTATTAAAGCCACCTGTAAAAAATTGACGATTTTACATTATAACGATTAATTTTCAGATGGAAAACCTAGTTATACCGAATTCGTATTATTTTTTTTATGAACCGTTCATGTTTACAAATTGCAAATATACACTTGGCAACACTTTAGGCAATATTATCTGTCATATAGACGTTATTTTGTATCAGTACTGCAAATCGCCTCTTGTTTGTAGATCTCGAGCATTTTAATTTTTGTCGCAGTGTTTTTACTACTTACAGTGCACAGTAAATTATTTAAAATGTATCGAAAAGAGAATCAAGGCTGTGATTGCAGCAAAAGGTAGCGCTACCAAATACTGACTTTATTGTTACCTCTTCGCTGTATTTTTATAACTACAGAAGCTAAGTTTAACTTTGTTGTGTATCTTTAGTGAACGATCGTTAATGAAAAATTATCCGGTGTGAAATCTTTGATATTGTGATTTTACTTCCACACGAAACCGAAAAACATATTTTTCGTATTGTGGCTCTGAGAATTTGATCACCCGCTGTATATTTTCGTGAAATAGAGAGCACAATATTCGAAATTATACTAGTGTCTGTCAGAAAGTACTCTGACTCGGAGTAAGGTGGACGTAAAATTAGCTAAACGTTTCTACGTTTAGCAATAATATATTTTATTCAAAGTCTGTATCCACGTTATTCGAGCGTCGTTCGCAAAAGTATACTCCAAGGGTCTCGTGAAGAGTGAGGACGCGTCACCCTGCCGATCCTTATCCACCCCTACGCGAAGTAGGCCCGGGAAAGACCCAAAGGGGCGGAGTCACCCCCACCGAGCGCGCTGGGCGTGGCTTCAAGATGCTCGCTTCACCGTCTTCACGACGGATTTTCTTACATGTCCAAATATTTCTGTGACCGACTGTACTTGAATTAAGTAATCAATTATTTTCTCACCTCTTATGATATTATTTCAGCCTTCAAATAATAACAACCTGCAGCAACTGAGTGTACAAGAACCTAAATTAACCCATAATTCAAGCTAAATTAGTATAAAACTTCTGAATGAAAATAGGGAGAAATAGGAAGTTGAAAGCAAAATATACGGTTTAGTGTAGAATACGAAAATATTTTTAATGCTTAACACTTAATAACAATGTCAGATATAGTATAACAGATTCCGTATAAATAAACAACAGTTACTTCATTATGTACAATATAGTATTTTACAACGAATACATACGCTGTTATCCAATTTCGAAGCCAGTGAAATGAAATTATCGTTTTTTTTTTATAATTAAGTACAAATAATACAATATGCTTACTGACGCAAAATTAGAGTATTACAAAATCACCTGTAAAACAAACATTGTTTAACCTATATGCACGTAATTTTTAATTAAACAACTAATACATATGGCAAATATACCTAGAGACAATAATTCGAGATTAGTTAATAATATATTCTTTTATGGGAGAAATTACCAATCAAAGTTGCAAAATTTATTTACTTAACCTAAACGAACGTTGTTTCTAATTACTGAAAATGAACCTTGTTGTCCAGAGTAGGAATGTGCAAATTGCAAATGTAACACAAAAATATTATCCATAAAATTCTAATGCTTTAGTAGCTCATAAAAAAGACCAAATATTTTGTAGACATTGTAACGATTTGAAATTTCGATTATTTTAATTTTTTTTATAATATATGTATAATGTATAAAACTAACAGTTACTAGCACTACATAAATAACTTAAAGAATTGCATTTCAGAACATTTATGTTGCTTAGCTTATAATATTGAAAATATATATACAAATCTTAGATATCTTTGAAACTCTATCGGTATTTATATTACATTTCATTTTTAACAGTATTTATATAATTATAAAACATATACACTAAGTTTTATAGTTCTTATTTTTACGTATTGATAAGTTTGCAAATGCAGACTCGTGTATCACCGAAAGGAAAATTATAACGTGAAATAAATCTCTTAACTTCCTCTACTTATACTTCTTTAAAAATGAAAATGATTAGAATTATAAAAATTACATTCTAAAACTGTTTGGTGTTACAATCGGGAAACAGGAAACAATTTTTTTCATTTGAGATTCAGTTTGATCAGTGATCAAAATCGGTGAGAAATACCTAAAGTAAATAATTACCCAACTTTTAGATATTAATTTCTTTCCTAATTTAAATTTGAACTGATTTATTTATTTATTTTTTAATACAAATATGTGTATACCAACGTTGTGTTATTTTTATTTTATTAAAATGAGTTATTATGGAAATGTCGTTTTTTATTTTCAATAAACTTGAAGAGAAATGTATATGAATTTGATTAACTGAAATACAGACTTGGTCTTTTGAGGCCTCGTAATGATGTTGCGCTTAGGGGCTCCAAAAGTGTAAATGCAGCTCTGAATTCTACGTTATTCTCCCTTTTTACCAAAACAGGACTTATCCAAACTATTGCTTTTCTATCGTTCTTGTTCAAAATTATATTATTTACAACGAAGTTAAGCGATTAAAAATGATAACGAATATGATTGTCACTTGAAGAATCAATTTACAATCATACGTTGATATTTTTTTTTTTACTGTTATTTATTTTACAATATATCCCGATCACAACTACTCCTCGTTCAAAATAAGAATAACCTCGTTTCGCGCATGGAACGTGCCTAAGGCGGGGCTAGAACGTCCAAACCCCCCACTTAACCGCCTACGTTTTTCTCCGTCTTACCCTCTCCTACGGACGAAAATTGGTCCGAGAGCGAGGTTATTCTTATTTTGAACGAACAGTATACACGAATTTTTGTTGTTACTCTTTCAATTTCGATTTCATTGACAATTTATTACTAATCAGGATACTATTAATCGCTATGTTTCATAAATTTGCTAAATATTTTCGTATACTTATTCACCTACGTTCAATTAAACGATGTACAATTCGTTCGTGAATCACAGATTAAATAATTACTTTTAACTCTATGCTTTTACCTGCTCATTAAACATATGTATAGCACCTCTCGTTCTATATAATTACGGTTTGTACGAAGATCTTATTCATATTATTTAAAAATTTTTCAAATGTTATATGAAGCAGAAATTGTTGTATACCATATTTTTATAATTCTTCAGATCGATATATAAAATAGATTTGTACTATTTTAGCAAAAAAAATTGGTATAGAAAATGGATTTTCTTAAGAAAATATAATAAATCTCATATTTGTGGCTGACACTACCAGGGCCGTAGATATGTAGTGGGACTCGTGCAACTCCTGGAGGAAAAGAAGTGGAGGGGCCGACCCAAAGCCAGAATTGTGTATAGATAATACTGTGCAGAGCTGGAAAGAAGTTACGTGAAAGGAATGCGGGTCTGATTAGGAAATATCGCCATAAGCCCACTTTCTCTAACACAACCGTAGAAATAGGGCACATGTATTGGTCTTAAAATATGAATCGGTTTAAAATTGCGTGGCGTGTGCGCAGTCTCGCTGGATTTCTTTCCTCATAACCTCAAAATCTCATAATTTTCAGACGTTTAGAATATTAAAATAGCTTTACAATTACTTTATCCACAGTAGTGAATTCAACGATAAGAATGCAGATAAAATTATGTATAAAACATTTCTAAACAATACCAGATAGTTTTATATTTTGAAATTTTTCTTGTTTCGATTTTATTACTTAATATTTGTTTTATACAAAATACGTCGTTGAACAAGATATTTTAAACAGAATCGCATTTTATATTCTGTAACATTACAATTTGGCAACTTTAGTAAACTTCATATAACACTTTAAGTTTATAATTTATACATACTTATGAAAATTTAATTATTGTCTTTTGTTTTCATAAATGTTGCTATTTACATGTCAGGTTATCTGTAAATTTCGTTCGTGCAAAACTGATGTAAATTAAATACGTTTCTTACTATGAAAATATACGTTTCTTGCAGAGCATCGTATACTTTCATATTCATAAATAAAACATCATGTTTCAAAAGAACAAACTAAAGCGAATCTTTAGAAACTTTTAACACGTTCCCTACCTACATTTGGTCAAAAAGTAATTCGTTACAGTCAATGCTACAAATAAAATTTTCATTCTTAGTTGTTTCGCTGTTTAATATTTTTAAGTGGACGTTCGAATTTATGTACAGTTACTCGAATTAATATTCAGACATCTTCCAAAATAGAGTAACTTTTCTAAAATTGGACCAAACGACTTGAGCTTTTTTGAGAGCAGTTAGAAGGATTAGTATACTATTTAGATGGCGTGAGCAAAAAATTTGGAAAAAAATTGCAATTTGTGAGAATCGCGAAGAAAATTGTAAAGGTCACTGTTTACAACTTTTTGATCTGAGCCTGTAATGGAAATTTAAAACATACGTTTTGTAGATTTATGTCAATTACATACATACTGAAAATTTCATTGAAATCGGTCAACGTTGCTGTGAGCTACAAACAGTTAAAAAATTGTGAAAATCGCACTATATCACGACTTTCGGCCTGTAACTGTAATAAATCTCAAGATTCTTACATCTTTCGATGTCTGTAGCTTTGCTAACTGACACAAATCTACAAAACATTTTTAAAATTTGCATTACAGACTCAGACGAAAAAGTTGTAAAAAGTGACATTTACAATTTTCTTCGCGATTTCCACACGCCCTCTACTGTTCGTTCAAAATAAGAATAACCCCGCTCTCGGACCGATTCTCGTCCGTACTGCGCATAGACAGAGAGCGTAGCAGAGAGTAAGACGGAGAAAAACGTAGGCGGTTAAGTGGGGGTTTGGACGTTCTAGCCCTGCCTCGGGCACGTCCCATGAGCGAAACGAGGTTACTCTTATTTTGAACGAAGAGTATTATACTAATCCTTCTGACTTCTAAAAAAAAAAAATTCAAGTCGTTTGGTCCAATTTTAAAAAAGTTATACTGTTTCCAATTGTGTCCGGATATTAACACGTACACGTACTGTACACGTAATTTCTATTGAACATATTCAAACTGCATTTAGCAATGTATTACATATGTATTATAACAACAGTCTGTCATGAGAATTGGTGCGTGACACATATGCGACATTGGTAGCGAATGTGTTAATATCTGCTGCCATATTACAAAATAAAATTTTACTATACACCTATCGCTACTTAAATACCTATTTAACTAAAATGCAACAGGAATCTCAAGTATACATCCACAAGTGATAATACCATCATACTTTCTTTTTGTTCATATTTCACGCCCTCTTGAGTGTAAACGCATATTCTAGCTTTCAGCAGAACGAAATAACAATGTTATTATCGTAAACGTTCGTTAATTCAACAGCAATGATCACACCAATTTCTCATTCTACGCTATCTTCGTTTATCCCAGACCTAATACATACTTGGGCAAATTGTACGCGAATCGGGGGATTGCCATGAAAACGGACATTCTGTAAACAGAAACACAAGATATGATTATTTTCCAGAGTAAAAGAAAAAATCATTAAAATTGGGTTAAGTAACACCTCGAGGATTGAGAAATTAAAATTTGTCTTTTGCTAGCATAGTGATACGTAACACCTTATCTGCTTTTTTAGCTCATAGAACAAAGTAATTTTGATTTGGTAGATTACGCATTGGAACAAGTCCTACTTGAATTATGTTGCAAAAGCAATACAGTAAATTCTCTACAAGTGTCAGTCAGTTTGGATTCTACAAGTGTCAGTATAGATGGTCCTACGCCTAGGCTGCGTCATTGCTGCGCCTATGTTATCTCGCTCGCAGTCAGTCAAGCGTGTAACGCTACACCACTCAGTTTCTTTTACGAGATTTCACGGCTCGACAATTCATAATAGAAAAATATAATTTCTTTAATTTTACTTTTTTTCATCTGCAATTTTTTTTAACATGTTGGTGAGATTTTTCTGATGAAAATGATATCAAACACGATGTAATTTGAACAACATTTACTTATTCACTGTCACGCCAAACAGTGAACGTGTTAATAAGTAAATGTTGTTCAAATAATGTCGTGTTTGATGTCATTTTCATCAGAAAAATCTCATCAATATGTTAAGAAAAATTTCGGGATAAAAGAACGTAAAATTAAAAAAGTTGGTATTTAAATCGCTTGGTTGCCTCGACTCACGTTTCATCCTTATCTTTTATTCGCTATCCTTGTCTACGTTCGGCAAACTACAAAGGCGAGCGCGAGGCTCGAAAACGTAGTCCCTGACTCTACAAGTGTCAGGTTCAGATTCCTTGCGGACTGACACTTGTGGAGAATTTACTGTATTCTAAATTGAACGCGGTGTCGGTTGCCGTTGGTTCGGCCAACGAGCCGAATGTTTGGGTCTGGGCTAGACGCCGGCAACTGTCACCGCGGGGCAATGAACTCGATCGCTCTGTCCTGTTCTGATCGACACCCATACGTCATCAGGGCAATAGCCTCGCCGAGCGACCGTTCAGCGACGATCGATCCGTTGTCTGGATCTTTTTGAAAACCTCCAATCCAGATCGTCGGTGGCGGTCCCTCGGCGGGGTATAAAAGACGGACTAGAGTCCGCGGTGGGCCATTCGCCGTATTTTCGGAAACCTCGCCAGTTCACTAGTGTTCATTACCGCTGTCGCTCCAGTACTATTCGTAATCTTGTCGCCTTTTGCAACGTGGATAATCTCACAGCGAGCTCCGCTGAAATATTACTGATTGTTACTTTCAAACCTGTCCTTTACTTAAAGTCACACGAAACAAATTAATATAATAAATAACAATAAATATTTACGTACGTATACCGGAAAAAATTTTAAACGCGTTTTTCTCGAAACCATTTTTTCCAAACTTGTGTGCAGCATAACTCGAAAAATATTTAACCGATTTCTTTCTACCTTTGCAGACATATACATAAATATCGCCTCCAGAGGGCAAACCACAAAAAATAATGAAATTGTTTAAGTTAATGCGCTTAATTACACAACGAAGTGAAAAATTACGGCGAAAATCGAACTTTTTGTTCAAACCCCGCCATTTTGTCAATTTTGTAGTTATTTTCATAAATTGAGGTTTGCTCTCTGCGCAATTTCCTAGAGAACAGAACCTTCTTTGATTTTCTTGTCTCAGATGAATAGAACAAACTTTATGCTGTTCGCCGTAAAATAACATTTGAAAAACACGGCCTGACAAATGTTTAAATAACTCCTTGAATAAACTTTCATTTTTGCTCACTAATCGTTCCTTCTTTGGTCCATAGGTATGAAAAACTACTCTCAAAATTTCAAAAGTGTCCGCTGCATAGTTTCCGCAGAAAACATTAACAAACTTTCCTGTAAATTAGTGCTCATCGATTGGGGTTTCCCCCTACTACATAAGAGGCGGACATTTTCACGATATTATAGACCTAACCTAAATAGATGCGTAATCCACTTTGTATCTCGAATTGGCGCCTAATTAATGTAATACATATTAATACACTGTTTCAAACTGCATACTTTAAAAAACGTATATAAAATTTATCGATAATAACGTCAAATGATGTTCAAGAATAACTGTCCTCGAGATGCTAAGAAACATATATTATAAAGAAATAATTACAACTCATATTTATTTTATAACTTAAAAAAAAAAAAGAATGATAGATTAGAATTTTAACAGTTTGTATTGATAGTAAACGAAACTTACAAAAGTCACAAAAGCATCCGGCCATCTTAGATATTAAACGAATTTTGTGTAAAATTAAAGAAAACTAAATTAAAATCTTTTTTTAATGAAAAATTACTAGTTTATTTTACCATAATGTATAAAGTTTTTCAAATAAAACGGAATATATAAGAAAAACATTTATACTTCAAAGAAATAATATGAGATGAATGTTATAAAAGTATTCAGCCATTTACTAACACTGTCAAATAAACAATTACATTTTCGAAAAACGTTTTGTTCTCGATTTTTGAAGCAAATTCTTTAGTTAAATTGTAAACTTTATCAATTGCTTACATATCATGTATAAAAATGGCGAAAGTGCGAGAAAGAGCTGTAGAAGAAAAAGTATTTAATAATAACATTGTACAAGAAAGGTCATTCGCAACGACAAATTGCACAAGATACAAATATTCGAAGTACAAGAGTGCAAAATATTATAAAAAATTATGAAAATAAACATTCACTACGTAATAAATTTTGCGGTGGACGAAGATATTAACTGATAGTGAAGAACGAAAAATTTTGATCTCTGCGAAGAAGAATCCAAGAATTGGTGCTCTAGAATTATGCAGTGAAGTGCAAACAAGTTCCAACAAACTTTTAAGCACCGAAACAGTACGTCGAATTATACGAAAGTTAACGGTCTAATCGAGTCTCTTCTGTCTGTGACTTTGCCATAGAGTACATTGATAAAGCAGAAGGTTTAAGATAAAATAATTTCTAATACCAAAAAAGAAGACAAATCGTATTGAAAAAACCGGGTCAAGAAAGAAATAAAAAGTACTTTCAAGGGAAATTCGACAACTCGAAAATTCAAAGAAATTTGAAACTTTGCAGAAATGTAGTTCAACTGAGGTTAATAACGCAACTGTGGCGGTACCTCCTACGATCCGCCACTAAAGGGACGACTTAACCCTCTATAACCTGATTTTTCTTCATTCGTGATCAAAAAAATTACGGTTGATCACAATTTTACATTTTTATGGAAGAAACAAGAATAAATATAAAAGATAATGTAATAATTGTAAATTTGCAAATTGTAGTTATTATTAAAAATTTACCAATTGTTATAAAAAAATAAGCGCATCATAATGTAATAGTACAACAATTAAACTAAAATAATTAAAATGAGACTAAAATATAGATAAATGGATACGTAACTTCCAAGTTACGTGGTGTTATAGAGAGTTAACGACCAATTCTCACTAATCTTCGCTAAAGGCTCTCGTTTGTATGCATACAAACTTCCAACCTGAATGTAGTGCCAGGTCTACACTTCGCCAGGCAGTGTGAACACTTTCACGAGCAGCGAGAAGCTTGCAGCGAACTGATCAGTAAACAGCGAACATTCTCTACTCAAGGAGTGTTTAGACCAAACGAATAAATGCTCATTCGCCCCTCTACTACTAAAAATTCTTCATGCATTCGCTTCATGCTCGTTTGGACTTGAATTTTGTCGAAGTAGAAGCCAAACGAATATTCGTTTGTTTGGTGTAAATGCACCTTCAGGATATGATACATCAAAGGATTTGCTTACGAGCTCAACTCTGTAACTCCTTGTCTTCTACTCGTGAGCTATTTTTATTGCAAACTTATAATTTTACACAAAATTCGCTTAATACCTAAGGTGGCCGTATACTGGTTTGACTAACTGTATTTTAGTTTATTCCATACATATTGTGTTCTTTCCACAATCAGTGACAGATTATTTTTGAAAAAAATAGAAGTAAGTAAAACACTTCTGTAGTTTCGTTTCCGTTTACTTATTTTACCTTTTATAAACACTTATACTCTAAGGAACATTAACTGTTTGCATAAAACAAGTGATCTTTAATGCATTAAAAAAGAAATTAGTTCAAGCTTAGTAAGAATTAATTATAGTATATGTGTTATGTAACAACATGAATGTAGACAAAGCTTCTATAATTGTATGTACAAATATTAATTTAGGAAATATAGAGTGTAATTTAATGATACTGATTAAAATTTATATACATACTTACTATAAGCAATGTAGAATAGTGCTGGAAATGTCAACCACCGTGTTACACGTTCCACCACCACCAGAAATTGTCTGTTATTTAATTATAAGACACTGTCTGATAGTAAATATCCTGTGTTGTGTGAAATAGCTTTTTTGCTTCAGCAGTGATCGATGAATTAATTGCAGCAAGCATTGTTATTATAAATAATTTACAAATAAGTGAAAAATTCTAACAAATATACTATATGTACTATTAATTGTTGTAGTAAAATCAAACTTTTCAAGCCACATAAATGTGAAGCTTTTAGATAGAGAGCAGAATATTGTAAGATCTCTATGAGATTCTCCTATATCTAGATGTTTTTTATATTGTTGGTATTTCCTTTTTCTTCAATTTAAAAATAATACAAGATCCATCTGTTTCAATTAATCATATTTTTCATTGTAACCATACTTCAACGTAAAATATTTTTGAAATAGTGTAACAAAAATGCTGACTCACTTAACAGAAAATGGCATTATTATGTGCAATCATGGTTACACAATATATCATTGATAAATCTGAACACTTGCATACTGTTCAGGATAGAAAATCAAGTTTCTGGTTTATTGTACATTAATTTAATTAAATAAATAATATGAGAGAATGAGATCTTTACTTATCTATCGTATAAAGTTTTTAAACTATTGGACATTTACTGAGTGCTATATTACAAGTAGATGGTTTAATGAATTTTCTATTTATTTCAAGCAGTATTATTTAAAAGTAC